TAATTTCAGGACTCCCGCAAAGTTTTTCTGTTACCTTTGCCCCAAGGTTTGAGGTTTTAACCGATCTTGCAGAGGCTGTGAGGTTGCTGGAGGATGGCTCTTACTCAGCAGCAGTGCCTTGGTGATCTGACTCCGTGCAGGTGCTTCCTCCCGGAGTTCACCCTGCTAGAGAACAAGCAACCAAAAAAGGCGCGATGTTCTTCCTTCGAACTAGAAATAAAAATATTAAAATAAAAAAGGCCACACCCGAGCCGGCCACAGCCACTATTGGTCATTGATGATGACGCGGGAAGCTAAGGATGAAGAGCCATTTTTCAACAGAGACAACGATCTCCATCAGCTCATACAAAGCTCAATCTGGAGAGCTAGGGGAAAAAAACCCCCCAAAAAATTTTTCGGGAGGGGGGGGGGCGGAGGGGGGGGGGGGTTTTCCGGGAAAGTTTGCTTTTTTCGGGGGGGGGAGGAAAATGGGGGAATTTTTAGTTAGGAAAAGAATGTCGGATTCTCCCTTTAAACGTTCACAGTTGTTACTTTCGGTTCCTATGAGGACGAATACCTGGCTCTTCGCTTTGGTGAATTGTCAACCAATAATCAGCACTGCCTCTACCACAGCTGCTTCCACCTATAACACCATAAGTTCATCTCCCTCCACAAGTTTGGTTCCTGCCTTCTCACAACAACTACTGCATCTCCCTCCACCGGTTGTTAGGCGCCATAGAAGAAGACGTCTCCCCTTCCTAGTCCCCTCACCACGGGAATTTGGGGCACAACTACTTAACCCCTTCGCCAGATTCCCGAGGGAGGAGAGCGTCACTCTCTCGGTTTCCACATGAGTGCCATCTGGATTGTTCAGGCCGGTGGAGCTTGCCAAACTATCTGAAGCGCTGGTTCGGAAAAGAGGTAAAGAAGAAAATACACTCTCTTTTTCAGGGGAGTGTTTGTTGAATAATGTTATGAACAATGCGGCACCATTACTTGTTCTCCACTGTTTGTTTTATTTCGTCTTATAACAGGAGTTTTTACTGACTTAGATACACGTTTTGGCAGGCCAATTTCCTCGCTTCCAAAGCCTTCCGCAATTGATACTTTGATAAAGAAGGAATTCATGTCCTGAGCGAGATTAGCTGGTTGGCCGAGAGGAATCAAACTTCGTGCACCCTCATTGGTGCTAAAGGAAAAGGCTTCCGAAGCGGCCGCGCTGAGGCCCGGTGTAGCAAAGTGAGCAGGAGGCGATGGCTCATAGTCAGAAGACTCAGCTTACATGGCTCAACTTCAAAGATGCTAAGGCTGGTGTGGGCTGGTCACGAAGGCACTGCTCTTGCTGCTAGTCCGAGCGTGAGTCTGCTCCATTTAACGAACAAAATAACTTGGAGGCAGCCTTTGAACTCCAAAGCCGAAGAGGTTGTTGCTACTGAGGAGAAAGCGGGGTCGGATGAAGATAGTTATAAGAAGATCATGATCAAAACAGGGTTCATATAACAACAGATCTTTGATTTCGATTCTTAGCCTCGGTTTGCCATGAGATCCGAGCTGGGATGGCCTTGTGGTCGAGGTTGAACATGCTCAAGGCAAGCTCTCGCACAAGGGGATTTCCCTTCATCTTTTGAAAATACAGTACTCTATTGTACCATATGAGAAGGGAAAACTGGAAATGCCAAAAGCGGGCGTTATTGATATTGGATGATTGAAATTTACCAAGGCCCGAGCGCTGAATTAACTGCTCACTGAGAACTGTCTTCCAGCTCAGCCTACATAACTGATTCTTTCTAGTACCGACACTGAGTGTTCAGGACGAGAGGAACTTTGAAGAGGATACTGATGAGGGGCAAGATCCTGCACCGGCGGCAAACTCAGCCTATTCTCCTTGGGGCGTAGAATGCCTCTCTTCCCTCCGAGTCCGGTGGCGAAAGAAGTTTAGTTTTTTGCATTTTTCTTTTGCTGTTTCCCTTTTGTATCTTTGCACTTATTCCATTTGCCATGGTTTGATAAATAAAAGGAACTTATGAATTAAGCAATTGCACAAAGTTCATTTTTTTGCGTCGGAATTAGATAAAAGGCTTCGGGTGTGTTTTTGCTTCGGATATCTTTTGGGGTTCCGGGCATTAAAATCTTCCGGATACCAACCCCTTTACTATGAGGTTCATAAGAAAGGGCCCTTTTATGCTTACGATGCTCTTGAGAAGACGTCTCTTGTTCATTCCGGCACCGGAGCATTGTGAAGTTTTTAGTCAACTTTCAAAAATAATTTAAATCAATTCACCCTCTCCTCCCTCCCTGACTCTCTGAACAAAGAAATAAGATAAAAACAAAAGGACTTTTTATTTATTCTTCCATCTTTAAAAGTACATAAGCATTCGCATTGCTAAAAAAAATTTGCCAATAACATTGTAGCTTATTAGTACAACTTGTTTTCTACGGGCTGGCCGATGCATTCCCCGGTCCCGATGGACATTAAAATGGTTCCCAGGATCTCGTAGTCCCCAGTTTTGCGGCAATCATGTTGGCGATCTCATACTATTCCTCCTCCCCCCCCCTACGTTTTGAAGACGAAGTATGCGAATTAGAACATTGGAAGTCTTGCTCCTTTGAAGAAAAACACTTGTGAGCGATTGGATAATCTTTGGTCCGATGGCAAGCTTCGTTTCTTGTTAGGAACTCTGCCATTCGAGCCAAAGACTATCTAACTATCCATAATGGCCTGTTGTTTTCAGTGCCTTGAATTAAAGGTCTTATCAATTGCTGATGATGCTCCCTTCGTAATATTCTTTCCATTGCATACCTCGTTATAAAACCTTGCCAGAAAAACCTGATTTGAGACTAAAACTGGGCCGAAGGGAAAAAGAGTGCAGCACATACTTTCAGTATCAGTAGGATCCATCAGCAGTAATACCTTTTTGAGGTGAAGTTATGTTCAGTTTCTTGGCAATTTGACTCCATCTTGCTTCTCCAGTTCGTATGATCCCTTCCTGGTGACAGCTGAAACCCGATAGGGACCTTCCTACGTCGGACCCAGCTTTTCCAACGTTGATCTTCCGAGTGTTATGAGTCGCTTTACTCAAAACCAAGTTTCCTACTTTTTGATATTGGCCCTCCGGTTATAGTATCTTTCTATCCTTTATTTCTTGAGCCACCATTCTTATATGCGCCAAGTCCCTGCGATCATCAAGAAATTCCAGCTTGACCAGCAATGCCTCATTATTTGCTTTTTCATCGCTTGAAATACTATAAGGTCAGTTCTCCTACTTCCACCAGGATTAGAGATTCTGCACCGTATACGAGAGATAAGAATGTCTTCTCCATGCTTGATTTCGTCGTCATCTAGTCGCCTATAGCATACTTGGTAACTCTTCGGGCCACTTGCTTTGGCTGCTTCCAACTCTTTTTGAGGTTTTGAATAATCACCTTATTGTTTGATTCCACCTGCCTATTATTGCTCGGATGGGTATACTGAAGATGTAATCCTCTTATTCTTCAATGTCTTCAAGAAATTTTGACTTTGGAGCCTATGAACTGTGGCCCATTATCAACAGCAATCTCCTTCGTTATTTCGAACCGGCAAATTATGTTTTCCTACAGGAATTCGACCACTTTGCGCTCACGATCTTTTGGTTAAGGACTTGTTTTAAACCCATTTAGTGAAGTACTCGGTTAAAATTAAAAGAAATATTACCTTCCCGGTATCCGGTGGCAGCAGCCAACTATATCCAAGTCCCATTTTTTCCATTGGAATTGGCCATGGGATAGTACCGAATGCAAGGAGTTCTGCCGGTTGGTGCACCAACTGTGCATTGGCACTGACACTTGTCGCATTTTACTGAACAAATGCCTTTGCGTCTTGTTCTATTTGGGGCCATAATATCCTGCCCTAACCAGTTTTAGCACCAACGAATCTGCATCGGAATTAGTTCCTGCAAATTCCTTCATAAACCTCTCTCATGACGAAGTTGCCTCCGATGCTACTAAGCATCGGGCCAACGGGCCTTGAATAACCTTCTATATAACTATCCACCCCAGAGGTTGTAGTGAGCCGC